GAATATAGACATTATATATATATATATCTTATCTATTCTTTCTTTTTTTTTCTAGAGTTAAAAAAAACCATGCAGCATACAACTTCAACACCTCCAACATTAATTGAAAATTTTAAAATGATACCTATATCAACACCATGTATTTCCGATGTTACAACAACTAGTGATAATTCATATGTAAGATTGTTTGTGAAAGAAAAAAAAAATATGATGAAGAAAATTTTCCCATTTTTGTTTTTTCTATTTAGTCTTCACTTTTACTAAAAAAGAAATTAGCTATGTTTGATAATTCATCTACTACAACAGAACATGATACGATTAATTCATCAGTTTCTGTAAGTCATCTTTTTTTTTCTAATATGTGTCATAATTTTATTAGCCTCAAACATATATAAATGTAGTTAATCAAGCCATCAAGTACAACTTTATCGATCAATGAGAATGAACCTATCAAAAGTGCCAGTCGAGTATGTCATACACAAAAAAAAAATAGTTGATGATGATCTTGTTTCTATTTGGAATTTTTTTTTTGCTTTAAACAGCGCCGTAAACCACTTCGACCTTGGTCATTATCTGCACGTGTCGAACGACCAAATTCGGTATGTTATCTAATATTTCATCGAGTCAATATATATATATAGAATAAATCGTACGTATCATAGGGAAATTTCCATTCCGCTATTTTTCTTTTTTTTTTTTGGCTATTCCAAGTAGATAATTTATAGATACATACAATCAAAAAACCAACTGTTCACTATAATCAAACATGAAAAATGATTGAGATCAACACATTTACATCGAGTTCCTTCAAATTGTATAGAACATAATGGATTTACTATAATAAAAAGTAATTCCTATATTAAAAAGATCAGCTATTCACAAAACATAGCTAGTATTATATGAAAATACCATAAAAAAAGCTAAAATGGCCATCAACATATATCACAGAGTTTGGACACATAGTAGGTATTGTAAGGCAAAATTTATTCTACACGTTCATGTATAAAACTTATTCGGGCGGACGGTATTTTAGCATGAAAGGATTATCATAAGTAATCAAAGTAAATTAATGTTACTACGATAATATTTTCATGCTAAAATCATTTACTGTTATGGTACTCGCTCGAAAAATGACCGGTGTAGAGCGAACTTCGTTATATAAACCTTGCTATGTCATTATATACCCAAATTCTACTTTAGGGTGATATGATGGGCACTTTTAGCCTGTTTTTTATATAGTATTAGCTATATTTTGTGAATTACTGATCTCTTCAATATAAGAATTTATTATTATCATAGTAAGTAAATCATCATTATGTTCTACATGATTTGAAACGTTAAATTCGATTTGAGAGGAAGTCGTGTATAAAGTATTACATATGTCTTATTAAGACTATGATTAGAATTAGTATAACTTTTTCTATTCATATAATTAGAAAAGTTCTTGTTCATATGAATATCACTAATATTAAATTTTAATTTTATAGATAATTCAATCGAATAATGATTCAATTGAACCTATTAGTGATACTGATGATGATAATAATAATAATAATCCATCGGTAAAAATTTTATAAATTCATTTCTATTCCTAAATTATTTCTTTTTTTTTTCATATACAGGAAATGAAATATTCACCTGTGAATAATGAAATAATAAATAGTAATCTTGATGAAGATGATAATTCATTGGTATGATATATTTTTTTTTTAATATAATTAAAAAATAAAAAATTCAAATATTTAGAATAATGAATGGCCTCAACAATTATCAACAATTGAAGAAATTCTTAAATTATATCGTGCTGAAACTAATGGTTTAATACAATGTATTCGATGTGGTTGTAATGCTAATCAAGATAATTTACTTGAACATGTTTCTATACATTATCCATATAAATGTTATTCATGCGGGTAAATAAAAACTTATATATTTCTCAATAACAAAAACAAATCTTTTACAATATAGATTCTATTGTCATTCATCAACAATTCTTGATGAACATAATCGAACACATACATCTAATACTCTTCTAAAATCTACACCTATCGAAGATATTTCACTTTCTTTACCAACATCTATTTCAACTTCAATAAAATCAGTTGAATCTTCAAATGGCACTAACAGTGAAAAATCAACATCATCAAATAAAGCAAAAGTTCATCGATGTCGACAATGTTCATATGTATCTAGTGTTAAAGTATAAAAATAAAAATAAATAATCCAATGAAAATAAATCATGAAATTTTCATATTTTAATAGGAAGATTATTGGGCACATCATCGAGTACATATACGAGCAGATAAAATTCTTGAATGTCCAAGTTGTCCATTTGTTACTGAATATAAACATCATCTTGAATATCATTTACGTAATCATCTTGGATCAAAACCATTTAAATGTTCAAAGTAATTAATAAAAAAATTTTATTAATAAATTGATTTTTTTTTTCTTTGTTAAATAATAGATGTGAATATGCATGTGTAAATTTATCAATGTTACGTTCACATAAAAAATCACATTATCGTCATTTAATATTTAAATGTTTAAATTGTTCATTTGAATCAAAACAGTATCAAACATTACAAGAACATTTACAAATTGAAGGACATGAACCATTTTTAGATGAAAATATTGAAGAATTTCTTAAAGAATATTCAAATGGAAATTTAACATCATTAAATACAACTAATAATAGTAATTCATCATCATCAACACCACCAACAACAACAACAACATCAATACAAAAAACAAATACATGTTCATCAATATCACAAAAACGTAAAATAACATCAAATACATCTGGATCTATTCATGTTAAACGTACATCATCAATATCATCAATAGATTCATCAACAGGTCCTATATCACCAATATCAACTGATGAACATCAAATAGATTTATTAAATCAACAAACATCAACATCTATACCACTTATTTGTACTTTATGTGATTATGTTGCTGCATCAAAAGAAGGACTTGGTGTACATTTATTTCAACATGCTTGTAAAAAAAGTGATATTATTAATCGATCATTATTAGCTAGTATGACTATTGATCCTGCAACAAAATTAATGGAATTATTTAATGGAAAACTAACACCATTCACAAATACAAGTGGAACTACTGCACAAGTAAACATCTTTGTTTCCGAGTCATATGATTTTTGTCTCAATTTATAAAACGAGTTATTAAACTTGAAGTTATCATGTTACATAAAGAAAAAAGAAATCATTTAATAATCCTCTCATGATCGGATAATTTTTTTTTGTGACACTACATAATGAATCATTTTGTAGCAATAGAAAAACTGAACGAAATCGATGTGATTCGAAAAAAAATCATACTTCGAATTCAAAAATCGTATTGCATAATTAAAATCTATAGTGATTCAAGGGAGAAAAAGCGTGATTTCAAAGCAGAGATGTTCAGAGCAGTGTCAACTGCTTTCTTTAGGAAGATTGTAAACTTTCATGCACTTGCAGTCGATTTGAGTGTCTACAAGTTCATCAGTCAAAATCGTGACGGAAGAGATTTTCAAAGAATTTCTCGAAAACCATGACGTCAGCGGTACCTTTTTATATAGTTCATCGTGTCGTTGCAGCCGCAATGCACATTTCTAGTTCGAAGTATTAGAGTCCCACTTTTTTCCTTGAGGTAGCAATTACACAGAACAATGTTATATGTAATAGAAAAATGAAAGTTTCTTAAAGCTGAGTTCTTTAGATCAATTACATTAGAATACTGGATGGATATCTGATCCACAGGTTGCAATACTCATATTACATTTAATACTCTGTATTATCAACTAGAGATAAGAAATAGAACGATCGATTAAGAGCAGTAGGGAACTTGTGGGCTCGTGTTCAAAATTTTATTTTTTGTTGGGTCCGGTTACACGTTTTTGTGAACTCGCTGCTTCCCTGATGAGAAAAAACAAAATCTAAATAGAAATTTTTTATTTCATTTTTTAGTTAAATGACTTTCTTGGTTCATATCAACAATTTCTTACACAACAAATTCAAGCTCATTTTGCTTCAACTAATTCATTATCATCTACAACATCTTCAAATATTCATCATTATCATCTTGATAATAATAATAATCATGCACCACCATCATCATCATTACTCAATAGTGGTTATTCTTTACTATCATCATGTATTAAAAATGAATCAAATGAAAATTCATTTTCATCTATTAAACGACAACGAAAAGAACAAGGATCATATAAATCATATTCAATTGATATGAATAATGATGAACGAAATATAAATTTTATTGATCAACAAACACAAGTTGATGAATGGCAAATAAAACGTTTATTTGAATGTTTTCATTGTGAAATTATTTTCAAAGATTTTGCTATGTATTGTACACATAAACAATTACATTATTCTTCAGATAATCCTTTTCGTTGTGCACAATGTGGTGAACAAAAAACAAATAAATATGATTTTTTTGTACATGTTGCACAACAAGCTCATGATCTGACTTAAGTAAAAAAAATAAATAAATCAACTTTTTCTTTTTCTTTTGTTTTTTTTTTCTGTTTTGTTCTTCTTGGCATTTAGTTCTTTTGGTTTGTACATGTCTTTTTTTTCTTTTGTTGCTGATGTTTTTTTTTTTGTTTTTTTTTTTTGTTTTTTTGCCATGACATTGAAGAGCGAAACAACAACACACACACAAAAAAAAAGGAATGAAGTTCACATTGTTTTTTTTTTCTTTTTTTAATTGACAGTTTTTAGTGTTTATGAAAAAACATCTTTACGACGATCACCATATGTTTCTAAAAGTTCTTCATCGATCATAAATATTGTTAATTTCTTGTCAGATACTTGAACGTCATTTATACGATGTTCAAGATCACCTAAAAGTTTATCAATTTCAATATGATGATCAAGTAAATGGGATTCAAGATAATCTTGTACATTTGCATCTTTACTGCCATCAGCTTCTTGATGACAACGGACAACATCTTTCCATACTTCTCTATTTTGACGACGAGCTTCTATTAAACCTTGATAAACATCAAGTACATTTGATAATTCACTACGAATTTTAAGACCATCTTTATGAATTAATCGTGTAAGTTGAGCTCTACGTAAAGCAAGAAATTTAACAAGATCATAAGCTTTCGATGAATCTTCATCACTTAATTTTGTAAAAAAACTTGAAAAACCTGGATAGGCACTGGCTGTACCAAATTTTGATGATAATTGAAGATAATTATATGAAACAGCAAGTTCTTGAGTTGCTAAATCACTTAAACATTGACCTAAACCAGTGTTTATTGTTATTGTTGATGGTTGAACAATTGCAAATAACAAAGTTAAAAAAGCAAAATAATAAATTGTTTGCATTATTATCATATGTGTGCGTTCGATAGCTAGTTAAAAGAATAAATGTCTTATGATTATGTGAAGGGGGGCTAAGAGAAGCATATGATAGATATGATAAAAAAGGTGCATGACTGATAACAGCTTAATTTCGTAACTGTTCGCCAACATTTGCCTACTTTTTATTGTTATCACATGTTTTTTTGTTGGTTTTTCTCTTCGGAAGAAGAACTTAAAGGCCTTAGATGGATATGAAAATTATTATCGTCATCATGATTCACAGAAATGTGAGGTGATGTTTTTGTATTCTTGAAGTGAATCGTTATCATAGTGTTTAGAATACTTAATGATATTATTTGAAGTTTAGAAAGTAATTTTTACTAAAAATAGTAATGTATATTACTGATCATGTTAAGTTCAAATCGGATGTTTGAACAGGTCTAACATGTCGTATCAGATCAATATTAAGTGGATAATTGAATAGTGATACTTGATAATCTAAATAAAAATTGAGAAGACATAACAAGTAGAAAGATACAAAAAAAAAAGAACAAACTCAATCTGATTCGGAATGACTTTCAAATTCTAGCGATATAATACGTATCGATTCTTCTTTTTTCATATAACAGCTTGATCGCTTTATTTCATTTTGATAACACTAGAGTAATAAAACTGATGGGAATAAATCAATGATATTCCAACTATTTAAATATGGACTAAGACTAAAAATATAGCTTTTCTAGAGAAAAACTTTATTTTGCAGAAAGTTAATATTATATTACTGTTTTATTCGTTATTCGTATCATTGAACTGAGGAGCAAATAAATTGCATTATTACAAAATTCTTCAGCTATCTGCATAGGACAGCAAAAGTTATACATTCTTTTCGTCGATGGTTCTTTCACTTGAAGAAACATACTGATACGATCATCCTATATTTTTGGCTTTATTATATTAGGCAATTTTTGCTTCATTCGATAGATCAGCCGGGGATTCTTCTGTAATCATTGTAAAGGGTAAATTATTAATTAAATACACAATTAATAAATATTTAAATAAATGACGACGTTTCTTATAGATTTCTGACTCAAATTTATAAACTATTTTCTAATCAGACAGTAATGTAGAATAAGGGTTAGCACTACGATATCTACCGACTAACCACAAAAAAAAATTTTTTTAGGGATTAACGAAGCCAGTTCAAGGCCACATCGAAAGTCCTCAAGGAATTTCGGTCCGATTCGAAAGCCGGAACCGAAAATTTCGTAGGTCGAAACTCTGACCTCCCTAGAATAATACGCATTGTTACTCTATCCATATACTGATATTTAACAATATCACAACATTGTCTATCATATTGTTGTGAGAGTAAAATATGGATTATAAGTAGAGGTGTAAGCTGAGCGGCTGAGCCGTCATCGTCGCCAAAAGCCAAAAAAAACAATGTTAAAGATTCTCAGCCATCGCCGCCGTTGCACAAAAAATATACTCAGGTTTCGCATGCTTTGAACATTCAGGATCAGTTTTCTTGAATGTTCTTACCAAAGAAAAAAAACGAAAAAAAATCTGCTTTTCGTCGACTTTTTGTGATTTAGAATTGGTTAAAGTAAAATGAAATCTATCTTGAGACTTGAAAACCAATTTTTAATCGGCTCAATCAAGAAATGACTGATTTTAACCTATTTTATCAATATTGTTTTTGTATAAGTAGTGTTTGGTATAGTAGCCCGCAGTATGACATGTGTATCAAAGGATTCTAGCTTTGTATTTACCATTTGCTGAGCTGAGAAGTCTAAGAAACTATTCAAAAATTTGAGTTTCTAAATAAAAACTCGAGAAAACGCATTTTACGGTAATCGTGATTAAAATTGATCAGAAATTGAATAATCTAATTTTAGACTAAAATCATATTTCTTTCCCTTTTTAACTGGCTTGTCGAGTTGCATACTAGCCACTTCTCTATTAGTGTTTTCTATCTTTTTCATTTCAAAATCTCTCGAAAACAAGAAAACAAAAGATCATGGAAAACTCCGAGTCGCCGCCGACTAGCTAAATCTCTTCAACCGCTGCCACCTTCGTCAGAAACAAATGTTATTTTTAACAGTCGCCGCTGCCGAAGGGCCCATAGTATCGAATCAGCCGCCGTCGTCGAATATTTAAAACATACTAAAATTTTTCAACGACCGCTGTCTGTCAACTCATTGGCTTACACCTCTAATTATAAGCAGCGAATATTAATATTTTTCTATGTTACTCAACAGGACTCTGAATTGGATGGAATGGGCACTAGAAATCTGTATTATTCGAGCATCACTCCACTCTTCTCTCTCTTCTTATATGCTGGCCAGATGGTCGAGAGCTTGTATCATACCAACTGTTAAACTGTACTGTTAGGGCTTGTTAAAGAAAAAAAGAATGTCTCTCAAATGCTGAAAGTTAAAAGAAGAGATTTAATCGTTGATAGACTCATTCTTTATAAGATACCGTTTGTTTTCTCAGCTCATTTTGATACTCATTTGCTAAGTTGATGAATTAAATCATAATCAATGTTGATTAAAAACGACCCTCATAGTAAATCAACCTAACTTAAAACTTAGTGAATTTCACTGTGATGAGCATAATAGTTAAACTCGTCTTACCCCTAAATTTGTGCAATTTTAAGTACAAAATAGGTTGAGATTGAAACGTATTGTTGTTCATACACAAGTGTTTAAAGATGAAACACTATTTCTTAAAAAACATTTTAGCGCTACAAATATGAGGAAAAAATCGATGAAAAAAATTCTGTCATTATCGTTAGGTACGGCCGTGATGTCTCTGCCTTGTTTTTTTAGGAGAGTTGCACGCTTCTGATCGAACAGTCCTACGAAAGGAAGGTGTATGTCTCTCCGATAATTAGAAACAGGTTGTTATTATTCAGCAAGAGAAAATATTTTTGAGACATTTTTTTACACACCTATCTCCTGCTCTTGGAACTCTCGCGTAAGGTCTGAGGGAAGGGACGAAAAAAGCCATCCTATGAAACTAGTTGGTTTGTCTCATTCTATCCCATAGAACTATTCGTCCCGTATAAAGATCGGTTCAAGTTTTGAATTGCATTCCATGACTTTCTTATTCGATCATGTCAGCTTCTCTCAATTTGTACCCGTTTTGTTTAATTAATTTTACATTTTACTTTATACATATCGTTAGCATAAACTCTATTTGTTTCTTCAAAAATAAGGATGTGGGTCTAGGATATTAGTATCTTGTTACATCCCAATGAATGCAATTGTGAAATCGTTGAAATTCGTTTGAATTTACTGAATTCTTGCAGGATCCTAGTTCTACTATCTCTCTTAAAAGATCCTGATGGCATGTCTGTAAGTATTAAGAAGTAATTATACTACTTCTCCAGTGTATTTTCAATGAAGATTCTTTCATATTCTGGTGCAAATCAGTGGATTTTTACAGATCTTCGTAGACTCTGGTGAATTCTGTAATTGTTTAGGTTCAGTAGAATTTATCAAGATTTTCTATCTATTCATTGGTTTTTCTCTAAATCAAAATTTATAAGAATCTGTCATAAAAATTAATTGGCAGTGGAAATAATAAAGATTTCTTATGATCATGGTGCTTTATCCAAAAAAATCAATAATTTTACAAGAAGAATATTAAAAAAATTTAAATGACCTTGAAATACACAGCATTACATAAAATTGATGATATTTTTCATTGATTAAAACCTGCCTAAAAATATTAAAAGCTTTTACATGAAAAGATACAATAAGAAAGTAAGGAAGAAAACTATTTTTATTGACGAAAGAAACCGACTAGGAGACTATAATAAATCCCGTTGTCCATCGTATCTATAAAGCATCTTGAGATCATATTTCGTCAGACAAATCCTGCATTTTTATTAAAAAGGAAGAAGAAAATTCAATGGGATGGGATAACATTTTATGGTTTTTTTAGATGATATTAACATCCAATTCCTTCATTTTCTATCTCCTATCCCATCGAATAGGATATTTCAAAAGAACAATTCGTTTCAGGAGACGGGATTGGATAGAACTGGACTGTCTTATCTCATTCGAAACTCTAGTACTAAACAATAGGTTGTTGACTTTTTTATATAAATCTAAAATCGAATGTCAGTTCAAATATTATTATACGAATAGCATGAACTCATGATACTGGCTCTTTGCACATGTGATACATAGTTAAAACTCTTTAAAAATTTACAAAGGAAATCTAGATACACATATATAACAAATTTACATGTGCATATCAATCTCATCTTCAATATTCTTGACCGGAATGAGACAAAAATAAACATTTTTCTTAGTAAATATTTTATTTATTTTTTATCAAAAAATTTGTTTATAGTTGTTGGCACAGGCAGTGTAGTCCAGAAGTGTCAAAAAATTACAGAAAACAGTTCTTCTTTCTTTTGAATTGATTACTGTTTTCTTTTTGCAGTGATAAAAAACATCGATTATAGATTCTTGAATATTTATAATAATAAAAATATATACGAATTGATTCGAGTATTGAACAATAAAGAATTTTATGTAAACACATGTGTCTAAAAATAAAAAAGATTTTCATTGATCACATGACTTGACTATGTTTTTTTGTTTTTTAATCTCAATTTCATTCGAAAGTTTTTTATACGAAATTGTTTTGGAAGTTGTGAAATTCGTATATTTTTAATAGTAGGTTTGATAAATGATGTTGTTTTTGATGATTCTCCTTTATTTTCAAATACTTGTTCAATAGCATTATATGTTTGAATCACATCTGAACGATTGGATGTACCAGGTTCTTCATGATTTTCCAGTGATTGTTGATAAATTAAAAATGCTTGTACATTATCACCCATAACTTGATATAATTGCCATAGATTACTAAAGGAAATAGCCAAATCAGGATGATTCGAAGGAAGAGCGTGTTGTCGAATTTCAAGTGCTTTCTTATAGAATGAAAGTGCTTCTGTGTAATTTTTCATTTTTTGATATGTTGAAGCAATAC